AGAGCCCACTAGAACTCAATTTTTTTCTGAAACAGATCGAAATTCAATGGAGAAAAATTAACTCTCATTTGATTTAGTAAACAATCATATTTACGCTCACTGAGCTTGAATCTTGGCCATTTGAAATGAGGAGAGAAAAAATTATGATTAATCCCATTATTAATCCGTCTTTCAGAATACCACTGCCAACCCAAGTAAAACAAAACTGATATTTGATAATCGATATAATGCCTTTTAAAGTTCATGAAAAAGCTAGCTTTTAACATTGAAATGACTGTTAAAAAACTGACAGTTAACCAGTAATTTGTTATCAATTATGTAACTGTTGATAGAGGTTCAGTGATATGTATATAATTTTTCATGTGTTCACGCTCGAGTTTTCTTAGTGAAGAAAGTAGATAAGGTAGCAAATAATCAAGAGCCTTTTACTATATATAACATAGCAAACACAACACAAAGCATACAAAATATAATAGTAATGTTTATTATGGTTTTACAACACATATATTCAATTTTTACGAGATAGCAGCAACGTCAAGTGATCTGATATCTTCATTACAGCAGGCCCACTCTCCTTTGTTGCCAAATATAATTACAGGAATACGATCGACTGTTGGAGAAGGTTTATGAATTTCGAGACATTTTTCAACAGCATCCCTTAAATGTCTCCACGGATCTCCTCCCATTAAGTCCGAATTATCGAGGACCGGTGCAAAACGTTGAGGTAGTTTGACATTCTCCGTAACGTAAACCATATCTGAATAATATGATTGCTTACATAAACTTTCGTCAATTCTTCTCCAGACAGTTGAATTTTCAGTTTTGTCTTTCTATTCTATTAAAGAACTTTTGAATATAAAAATATAAAAATTACATTATATTAGACAGAATGAGGTAGCTATAATGGTAGAAAATTTACATTATTTTCAATGTTTATCCAACTTTCTTATTGAAACATCATCTGAGATTAATAATGAAACTACTATTAGAACAGTTATCAAAACTAAGCAAATTATCTGTAATTAGTTTTAATGATAGTGAAACATTTATTGATGGAGTCCAGTGGGCAGATTTAATTGAGAATGATCTCAAAAATCTGACACAATTTCACTTTTTTTGTCTTTATCTGGAAATAAGGATATCGATGATCTCGAAGACTGCGTTTTGATTATCTAACCCAATTAATTGTGATTATCGTCTATTTAATTGTTCCTCCATCGTTCAACTCATAGAGGTCAAGGAAAACAATGCTTTGGCTCTTATCTTTTTGAAAATTAGTAATACAATATTCTTTAATTATTATATCAGCTAACTCAATATCCTGTTGTTTTTATACCAGTAAAGCCCTGGAAGTTCAAAGACGGCATTATTGACTTGTTACTATGGACAAGTTATGACGTGGAAACGATATTTCTCTATACACTTACTTATTCGCTTGATCAATGGGTATTTATCCAAACATCAAGAACATTCAAATCTGATACATCATCTGTACATAATAATAATTTCTTTCGCTCCTTTGACCCTGTCAATGAATTATCATTGACTTTTCATGATATAAAAAAACAATAGGAATTAAAAGAAAAGTGAAACCGAAGAATTAATTTTCTTTTGGTACCGGATACAGATCATTAATTTGTTCGATGAGGTGCATGAGTCGTCGATCACTGAATCTCTTTCGCCACATGAATTCTGTTAGATGGGTTTGTAACAACGATTTGTGCATCCCCATCATACTCTTCTTTTTCATCTTTGCACACATCCACATATTCTCGATGTTCTGCGTGTGCACCTGTGTGGTT